AATAGTCAACATCTAATACAATGAAACCATCTAAGAAATATCCGGAACCATAATAACTTGTATCTAAAGACAAGTCTACACCATTTTTATGGAAGTTTACATTAAAACCAAGTCTAACTAAAACCAACACTGAAACTAAGTTCCGACGAATCTCTGGAGCAAATAGCACATCATGTAGGAACAACGTGCGTCCACCGCGCATAAGTAGTTGACAGGTGCCAATGCCTCTGACCTCCACTCTTGAATTGTTCCCCACGTATATCCACTTCGTTCCTTGTGGAACTCGTCGGAACTCCACGAAAGCTCGTCTGTCCTTCGCTACATGGTCCGTGGCTCCCGAGTCTACACCCACAAAGGATTAGATTCGGTTAGAAACACCGAACTAGACACATAAGTAGCATTTTCATGAATGCTAAGGGTTTCTACCTTCTTTGGTTCGCCACGATCGCGAGCAAAGTGACCCTTCTGTTACGCAGTTGAAACATTTCACTCTTGAAATGTTCTTCTTGAAAGGACGCTTTCCTTTCTCCCGTTGGTTGAGCCTCGGCTTCTTGCCTGAAGGACTTGGCCCCTTGCCTTTCCACTTCTTTGACCCAGCAGGGTGTTTCCTCTTGGAGCCCGAAACTCCATGCGAGCTAAAACCAGCAAAGTAAATATCAGTTTCTGGCTTAGCCGCCATGAGGCGATCCTCTTCCAGCTCAAGATGCCGCATAGCATCCTCGAAGGTCTTGATACCCTCATTGTGGGTCAAATGGATCTTCATGTGCTCCCAGCTTTGAGGCAAAGAGCGGATTACTGCCTGCACCTGCTGTTCATCAGTGAGTATGTGCCCGGCATCCTTTAGCTCACTAATCATATTCGACATCTGCCTCAAATGTTGTTTCATGGTCTTTCCATGAGACATCTTATATGAGTCGAAACGGATAGTGAGTTGTCTTAGTTTGGTCACAGAAGTTCGACCAAATCTTGATGCCAGTGCAGCCCACATGTCTTTGGCGCTCTGGAAACGTCCGAACTCTCGCATGATGTCATTGTCCATGCTGCTTAGCAACGTAATGCGAGCAAGAGAGTTCTTTCTTTTCCAAACAGCAAAGGCATCTTTGTCCCTCTTGTGTTGGGCAGTTGTCCCATCCTCAGGTTCTTCCATAATCTGGTTTAGAGCTTCGAGTGCCTCTTGCTCTTCCAGCACATATTGAATCTTGAGACTCCAAATCTCATAATTGTCACCATTCAATTTTTCTCCCTTATTCAGTTCAGCCACTATGTTCTTAGTTGCTGAAGCCATCGTATCTAAACATTTCAGACACATACGCACGAGTTATTAAAGCCTATCTAAATGCTTCATCAGCATCATGATTACATAAACTAATCATATTAATGAATAGTTTCACAAAAGGTCTTAGAGTCGAAAGTTCACTATGTTCCCAATCATCGTCTAAAAAAACCCAATTTGAAATTACCATTAATATAATCATTTATGTAAAGAAATTGGTTCTTCAAAAGTTATACAAACTTTGAAGAACTTCCCACATATAACATAACATGTGATATGGCAATATAAAATGAGAAATCACAAAAAAATTCATAGCCATATATATATATATATATATATATATATATATATATATATATTTCATAACACATTCACAAATATTTTAAGAACATGTAATAACAACTTGAAACATATACAGAATTGATTCCTAATCCCAAAAGAACAACATCAAGTGTACCAATCTAACACATAGACAGGAAAGGACTCATAAAATTCTTTAGAAAGTTTTATTTTCTTCGGAACATAAACAGAGGCTCCCGGAAAACCCCTAGATCCGGGCCATGATTTGCGCCTCGACCCATTCAATGCAAGGGTTGATGTTCTTCTTGCCCCAACCCTTATGTATTCTTGCACAAAATTCTCCACAAGCATCTTATAGCTTGGACCATTTAAGGTTTCTTTAACCTTATCAATCATTCTTCCCATCTCATCAGGCATAGTGCATTTTAGTGCTCCGACCATTACATATTCCGGCATTACAAAACCGTTCCAAATGATATCCTGTATCATTTTGTTGACCTTGATGATGTGTGTCATCATATCATCTTTAGCGTCCCATCGATAAAGAGCTAGCTTGACTCTTAGGTTTTCAAGCTTCCTCTTTTGAGCTGCCGTTCTGGGTATTATCGGAGTGCGTCTCAAATGTACCATTGTTCCTGCAACGAATGCAGAACGAAGGATTACTTATAATCCATGATACATTAAGATAAGGAATGCTTATTCATATACATATGATCTAGCACTTGTATTTCAAAAAACTATAGAGAAATACTAGAGAAAATGCCAAAGAATATACCCCTAAGTACGTGTACATAGGGTTTATCGTGCATTTTCACATTCATAAGTGCAGCAAAAGTGTGATATGAATACACCATAACGTAGATCATTTCGATACGAGCACGTCGATACCAAGAACGCCCAAATCGGAGTTCAAATGAGCTTGAACGGACCGAAAGAAAAAACTGGGTCATTCTGCCGGTTTGACCGGTCCGACCGTTGACCGGTCAACGGTCAACTGGGTCGGTCAACGGTCAACCGGGTCGGGTCAACAGTCAACGATCAACGGGTCGGGTCAACCAGGTCAACAGGGTCGGGTCACCGGTCAACCGGGTCGGGTCACTAGTCAACCGGGTCGGGGGTCTCGGGTCGGGTCAATGGTCCGCTTCTGATGACGTCACGATGACGTCATCATCGGCGGTTAGCGGCGACCGACGCGCCCTTTCGCACGGCCGCGCGTGGTACGCACGCGCCGTCGCGCGCACGGGCCTTGTCGGCGCGTGAGGGCGCGTGCGGCGTCCTCCGGCGACGTGCCGCCCATCATTTTGCTCGTCTCGACGAGTACTTTCTGTTTATACAATAAAATTTAAGTTTTGACGAAAAAAAAAAATCGAAACATGTATGAACAGTTCGGCGACGCGACGAAAACGAACCAAAAACAAGGCCGAAACGAAAAAACAAGCAGTATACACTTCAATGGAAGAGACGGTACACATGCATGATCGGGAAACAAGTAAACGGGCTCTGATACCAATGTAGGGAAAACTCAATTCCCGATCCTCACGTTTGAAACATATTCGGAACGAATTCGATCAATGCGGAAAACGTGCCCAAGGATCGTCAACTTGTATCACCGATCGTACAGGTATATCACACAACGAACATACCCGGTATTGTCACAGATTAAGTGCCACTTTGCGCTTGAGAGTTCTTCGAATGTCTTTCGTACTCACGTGCGTTCCGAAGCAAAAACAGAGAATGCGTTGTATCGAAGGAGTGTGTTTGCACATATGAAAATCACTACTGTTTTCCAAGGGGTGCCTTCTATTATAGATAGGCAAATAACTACCTCGTGGGCCCTTGTGGCTCACGGGCCGGGTTTGGCCCATCTTGGGCGGTCCACCCAATATGTCTTACAGTCTGACTTCGAGGGACAAAAAGGCATGGTTGTAGATTGAACCGGATTTCGTGTTCTTCATAAGAAATGTTGATCAAGATGTTTTTTATGACATATCCAAAATTTAGAATTTTTGGAGTTCGTTTACTATTTATTTTATTGGGATTTCGGTCACTGTATAAACTGCCCAGTTTTGACCCGATTTTATATATTCTCGATTTTTCTCTCTCTCGAGAATTATTCGGTGTTATCATGGCATTTTGACGGGTAGTTTGATGCTTGAATGAGCTCGTATGTGTGATTGTGTGGCTGTGAGGTGTGGTGGTGTGATTGCGCATTGAGTTCGCGTGCCAAGCTTGGGTGTTTGTGTGGTGTTCGCGTGACGAGGTTGTGTAAATGTGAAATGTGTGTGAAGTGTGTATGTCTGGCAGTGTGTTTGTGTGGTGGCGTGGTACGTGTAGAGAGTGTGGAACGAAGGTTTGGATGTGTAGGATTGATTGGAAAAAGGTCCGTCCTGAGGCGTGTACGTTTACGCGGGACGATGCCGTCCCTAACGAGGTGACGATGCCCGGCCCGACGGGGTGACGATGCCTGACGAGGTCAGAAGATCGTTGGCCTGATGCGTTTTACGCGGGCACGATAGTGGTGGAAAGGTTGAGAATGAGTGGGATTTGGCAAGACAAGCGAGAGGATTGTGGAAAGTGATGCATGGCGTGAGTTCGAGTGCGAGTGTGGTTGGTATCAGGTATTGTCGTGCTCGATTTTGGAGTAAAATCTGCTAGGCATGGTATGGGACGTGCCCAAGTAGGTTTTACCTTATAATCGAGGCACGTGCGTGTCTGTGATTCATTGCTGTGATGTGCTGGCTGTATTATGGTCTAACGTGCAAGAACGTGCATGATGGATTCCAGGTAGGGGCGTGTGTGGTTGGTAGTTTGATTGATTTTCGTATGTTATGCGTGTGTTTTCGTCTGGCGGTACGTGAGTGCCGACGTGGGGTTTGGGGTTGTACACTTATTGAGATTCGTCTCACGGTTATATAACCGCCACTTTCAGACCCCCAGCCTTAGACTCGGGAAGTTTGCCTCCTCTTTTTGGAAGTTCGAGGAACCGCCTTTGGTTCCCGGTGGAATTGCAAGTGAGTGTCCGGAGGCTCAAGCCCGAAGAATCAGGAGCAGAATGGAGAAGGGCGACCCTTAGGTTTTTCCCTAGGGCATTTTAGGGGTTGTATAGCTTGGGTTATCCGATAGTGAAGTTAAGATAACCAAGCCCCTGATATTTTGTTATAACGGTGATTTCTGATGCTAGTTTGCTAAATATGTCTGTAATACAATGTTTGTATATTTGGTGCAATATGAAGATGTTGTTGTTTGATTGTTATGGTGGTCTACCCCGTCGTCGTCATTTTAGTCCGGGGGTTTTTAAATTCGCTTCCGCACGTGGCTCTGATGTTTGGGTTGGGTCGGCGACGTTCCTGGGACGTCGCAACTATTCGACCGGAGCAGGGGATGTCGCGAGCCCGATGGGGTTCGGAGCGTGACAAACGAATACAAGCAGCCGCAGCTAAGATGGTGGCTTGACCATGGACCCATGGCTCCAGATCTCGCCTCGTTGGTCATGGACCAACGGCGACGAGGGAGGGGTGGCTCGGCCATGGACCTCCCAATCTACCGATCGACGAGCCTGATCGTGAGCAATGATAAAGGGGTGGGTAGAGAACGACCATAGATGGAGATTCATGGTGGTTCAGCCATAGACGGCCAACAACTACGAGTAGCCGCAATTGAGATGATGGCTCGGCTATAGACCCATGGCACCAGATCTCGCCTCGTCGATCCAACGACGTCACTAGCCAAATCTAGTCTTCTCTCCTAATCTTAACATAGACACATCTTAGATGTTGTACGCACTCTTCTAACCTCAGCTATTGTCCTAATTGCTAAATACAATGTCAATCATACTTCGTCACATCTTTACTTATGAGCGCTTGTATGATAGTTTTTCTGAATTATAATCTATTTTCGAGTCTTCAATAATGCTTGTTTTGTCCATCTTCTTCCAAATGAACGCATGGAGTTAGAACTTCATGCTCATTTATGTTGTTTCCTTGTGTATGGCATTGGGTACAAAGGGTATAGATGTTGAGATACTGTCTCTAATCGTCTTCGTGTATATCGTCATATTACCTTTTGGGAACACAAGACGTTCTTATTGCTTCATGCTTTTGACTCCTCTCCTACTGTTCGTTGCTTTACCAATCTTTCGATAGACCTATTTCCTAAGGTGACACACTTGAATCTTCCTCTTTGGAGTCGTCTTCTTCTAATCTTGATGTAGATACCTCGGTGATCCTACTTCGGCAGCGCCTGACATGTCTGCGCCATTTGTGGATTCTCCAGCCTTGGTCATTCCCTCTTCTCTTGTTCATCATTCCACACTTGTGAGTCAACCTTCTATTTGGTTTCGTGATTCTAATTGTTATTCTACTATTGCTTCTTATCATAAGTCCCGTTTGTACAAAGAAGCTCGTACTAATCTTCTTTGACAGCAAGCAATGTTAGATGAGCGACAAGCATTAGACAAATGTTATATTTGGGATTTGATTGATATGCCTCCTGGAAAGTTTTTTATAGATTGTAAATGAGTGTATAAGATTAAAGCTAAGATAAATTGTGCTAAATTGTGTCTCAAATTTGAACTGTTTACGAAACCCGATCCAATTAAAGAATTTGTTTTTTATTCTATTGTAGAAGATAAACATTCACTCCTTGACCGGTTTGACCGATCAAGATATGTTCCTTTAAATAGCGTGCAGTGGACGTCTTCAACAAAAGGGGTGTTGGCCGCTACAGGACAAGGAAGTGGTTTTACTTCTCTCTCCAGCAATAGCCGCGAGTGGCTTTCATGGAATAAAAGCTGCACAATGAAGAAGCTGCAGCCGTACAGAGACTCCGAGAAAAGAACGAACAGCGAAGACGAAAGAGGCACTATCGGTGACGTCCTCTTCGATTTGCACAGAGGAGTCCTAAACGGTAGATTTTGTGTCGTGAATTTTACATCCAAATTGAGTTGTTTATTTGTAATACTTTAGGCTTTAGGATAATCTATGTGGGGGAAATATTCGATCGTGTGAATGATTGTAACTCTAATTTTCCGATTATAGTGGATTATTAACTGCTGGTACTGATACTCAGACTGAATCATGTAAATCTTTGGTGTCTTTTATTGTTTCTCGTTTATTTCTTTGGTTCTCTCGCATTGATTTAATTGTAAGATCCTACCAATTTCCGTGTTAATTTTGAAATAGATGATACAGCGGAATGCTTAAAACTTGACATGTTGCAAAAGGGTTTACTTAGGAGTATGGCATGGACAACGACGAGACCTTTGCTCCAAGGATTCGCACACTATGAGGCTGATTATTTAGTTTATTTCACAATTATTGTAATGGTGATATCTTGTATCTCTCTTTATATATGGATGACATGCTAGTGATTAACTCCAATATGAAGAGAATCGCAGAAGTGAAGAAGATGTTGGCATCGCAATTTGCTAGGAAAAACTTGAGAGAGGCCAAGAGGATCTTAGGTATGAAAATCATCAGGGACACAAAAATTAAGAAATCATGGTTGTCGCAGGAAGATTATGTGAACAAGGTGTTAAAGAGATTCAACATCGATATCAAAACCGGTTACGACTCCTCTAGCTAGTCATCTCAAACTTTCCAAGGATATAGATTTGAGTACTCAGGTTTTGAAAGATGAAATGGCAGTAGTCCTATATGCATCAACAGTGGGAAGTTTGATCTATACCATGGTGAGCACGAGACCAGACATTGCACAAGCAGTGAGAGTTGTGAGTCAATATTTGTAGAACTTGGACAAAAAGCATAAAAATGCACTAAAATGGATATTAAGATATCTAGGTATTTCTTTAAAGGTGCAGGGAGTTGCAAGGTTATGTGAATGCAGATCACTCGGGTAATCACGATAATGGTAGGAGTACCACTAGATATGTCTTTACATAGATACAGTAGTGAGTTTGGTATCTGAACTACAAAAATTAGTGCCTCTATCAACAGCAGAAGTGGAGTATGCCATGATCATGGAAGTCTCCAAGGAAATCATGTGGTTACAAGGTTCCATGGATGAGCTACATCAAAAGTAGCCAGTGAGCACACTATTGATAGTCAAAGTATAGTGCACTTAGCAAAAAATGCAACTTATCACTCAAAGACTATACATCTCAAGAGATGTTTTTATTTCATCAGGTTAGCACTGAAAGATATCGAGTTAACGTTACAAAAGATTGATTGCTCGAAGAATCCAGCTAACATATTTACCAAGGTAGTATATAGAGAGAGCATAATTTCTGTACAACTACTGTTGGCATCATCCATGTTAGTTGATGTGGAGTATCGCAGAGGTAAAAGTTCTAGTTTCTAGCTTTTGAAATAGGTGAATGCAAAGTTGATTGGTGCATCGGGTGTATTTATCTTCAAGTGGGAGATGTTGGCGGGTGAAGCCAAAACTTTTCTTTATTGAGGGCTTTTTTATCTTTTCTCTTTATTTTGCTTTTAGCTTAAAAACTACACTTCATATATCGACTATTGGTAAGGCTATAGCTGTGAAGAGTTGAAAAGAAGACAGAGAGAAAAGAAAAAGAGAGGTCGTGACAGCCAATACGAAGAAAAAGTGGTTTTTTTCTTTGTGAGTAATCTCAAATATCTTTGTTGCCTAATCTTGAGATGATAGTATTATTGTATTCCTACCTTTTTGAAGTCTAATGGATTCACACAGTGCCTTTGTGTGTTCACACAGTGCCTTTGTGCGAGACATAGCCCAAGTTTGGATAAACTTCGATAACAAATTTTCTGGTGTGTCATTACGATTTTGTTATTTTATTATTATATGGATTGTTTGCCTGTGTTATTTTTCAGGAATTGGTGTGCAATTCCTAAAAAAAATTGATCAAATGGCGTTTTGAGCTTAAGTAAAAAACGGAGCCTCATCTAGAGAAGCATTAAAAATGGCCTAGACGCTTAACCGGTTCATAGGACTTGCAGGTTGTAAAGTTACATGTATTTCCATAGTGGCTGGACTTCTGCATTCATCCCCTGGTTATGAGAAAGATAGCCTATATGGCCTCCTTTCACTCTCAATCTGTACAGTCTTCACAACAGATCCAAAAGGTGGGAAATGGCGAAGGTTGGGGGGAAAATCCTAATATTCAGAAGAAAAGGGAATCTTTTTAATTGTGTGAGCTCACTCATCCTGCTCTTGCTCTCTGCATAAATTTTAGCAACAAATGGGAATTTCCCTGGAAGTTTGGCTGATATGCTGAAACTAGAGCCACGGTTTTGAGGAGAAGCAAGTTAAACATAATTTCTCAATTTGGGCCAAGTTGATGCCTTAATGAACCACATGCAAAAGCATGTACTTTAAGACTCCGTTCATTTCATGGAAAATAACTTCCAGAAAAATATTTTCCAGGTTTATTGATGTTCGTTTCACGAAAAATAACTTCCCACGTAAAACATTTTCTAGAAAATGGACAAAACACCTTCACTTTTGCCCCTCCTTCTTTCACCATTCATTTTAAATATTTAAATATTCTTTTTTTTTCCTGCTCTTTTCTATCTTCTTCTCCGGCCAGTCGCCGGCGACAGTGGCGGCCGGTGACCGGTCACAAGAGAGCTCGAGTATCACCACAGGCTGGCAAGGCTTAAGCTCGCCAAATTCCGACGACGTCGAGCCTCGCCGGCTTGTGGCGAGGCCGAGCTTGCCCTAGGCTGACGAGCTCGAGCCTTACCAAATCCGTCGAGCTGGGCTAGGCTCGAGCCTCACCCGAGGTTGCCAGAGCCTCGCCGGATCTAGCGAGGCCTGAGCTCGCCCGACCGGCCTTACGTGAGCTCGGCCGCGCCAGATCAGGTGAGCCAGAGCCTCGCCGGCCTGTGGTGAGGGAGCTAGCCGGTTGCCGGCTGCCGCCGTGGCAGACGACCGGTTGAGGAAGAAGAAGAAGAAGGAGGGAAAAAAAAAGAATAAAGGAAAAGAAAAAATAAAAATAAAAATAAAAAATTATGAAAAGTAGTGCAAGGAAGAAAATCTTTTCCATACCGAACAACGAAAAATATTTTTCGAAAATTTTTCAGATTTTAGCCGAACACGGGAAAATTGTCATTTTCCGGGAAAATTTTTTCCAGAAACGTAATATTTTTCGCGAAACGAACGAAGCCGAAGTACTGATTTCTCGGCAAACCGCATAGGATTGTTATTCTTGAAATAGTACCACGCAAGATACCCACGCAAACCAAGTCGTAAATGTAACTTCAATGAATAAATTTAAAAAAAATTAAATCGTTTTTCGTAAAACTTTGACACTTCTCGTATGCTTATCCCATTTGTCAAGGAGGTGTAATAATTAAGCTAATGGGTTTGGTTGGGATGGCTGTAGCCTGTTGGCGAATGGGCTTATAAGCTGTGTAGTTGGGTTGGAACAATAATCATGGGCTTGTTCAAAAGACGGCAATGGTATATGGTTTCAATCTTGGTTTGATGTTGATGAAATGGCTAGTTTCATGATAGACGTAGATTGACCTTGGGTGGGTTTGAGTGAAAAACGTCATGAAATTTGTGATATTATACCCTGGCTGGCCTAGTGAATTTGGGCCATTACACTAGTTGAACAATTTTCATTTTTTTGGACTAGCTTCAAAATATTGGAAGTTAGTACATACTCATGGCAAGTGTAAAGTATGGATGCTCAAATGAAAGTTTCTCTTGCAATATTTTTTTTGATTTTACAAAGAACGGAGTTATTTTAAGCAGAAGCTACTTGGTAGATTTAGATATTGTGGGAGAAATTGGAAAATTTAACCAAAATGAGGCTATCCCAAGAAGATAGAGGTAAAGTAAACATTGCATCTTTTGTAATTTTGACTTTTACCCCATATGTTTATTTTATCAAAATTGTCCACTATGTTTAATAGAGACATCTAAAGAAATCATTTACTCCAGAATTTCTTACATTCCTCTCATGATAAACTATACATTTTGACATATTGTCTATCAAACAACTAATTTGTAGCCATAGATACAACATATTTTATAAATGGATCGGCACTATCAAGAAATTCTGGGGTCATTAGTTTCCAAGTAAAGAGAAGGATTTTTTCATGATATAACTTCGACATAGTGATATAGGAATATTGGGGCGTGAAGCAACGTTTACATAATGAATATTGGGGCATGAAGCAAAGTTTACATACTTTCATGTTTGGAACCTATAAATTTTGAATAGGAGTAAGGGTTAATACCACGAAAAATCCTAAACTAGGGGTGAGCGGTTCTAGATTCCTTATAGGTTTCAGGTGGAACCTGGAACCTACCCTCGGGTACAGGTTCCTCATTTTTTGGAACTTGAAACCTACCCATCGAAACTTGGAACTTGAAACCTACCGTGTCACAGGTTACAAGATAGGTTCCAAGGTCTAACAGGTTATTTTTTTTATTTTATTTCATTATGAAAATGAACATAACAATACTGAAAAAACTTGTCATTCACCAAAGAGAATACAAAACACTAGTTTTCCTAACATTATGGTTCAAATAAATACAATTAAAATGAGAAGTCATTGCATTGATCGATATTAGGGATGAGTAGTTCCATATTCCGTATAGGTTTCACCTAGAACCTACCCGTAATGATAGGTTCATCATTTTTTAGAACCTAAAACCTACCATATCACAGGTTCGAGGGTCAGTTCCAAGGTCTACCCAAGTTCCACCTGTATTATTAATTGAACAATTGCAGTGAATCATCACCTTTAATAACTACCACTTTCTGCTATGATCTACTGACCACAACTTATATTTAGACACACAAAGAATATGAAGTATTAACAAGTCATAAAATGAAAGTTCAGACTAGTGGTTTCAGATTATACACTCATTATTTAACACCATAAAACACTGCAGGATCACGCAAAGATGCAGATCAAGAAAAAACACAAAAAACTCTTTTAGGTTCCAGGTTTCAAGTTCCACTTATCTAGAACCTGGAACCTACCCGTCGAAACATGTTCTTTAATTTTTGGAACCTGAAACTTATCTTGGATACCTTGGAACCTGGAACCTACAGGTTCTCACCGATCAGGTTCTCAGGTTCCAGGTTCTACCCTAGAACCATGCCCACCCCTACTCTAAACTGGTACACCTGTGATAAATTTACCACAAACTAATATTTTGACCACTAAAAACCCCAAACTGGTACACTTGTGACAAATTTATCCTCCATTAGTTTTTGTTAAATTTTATCGTCAAATTGCTGAGTTGAATAACACGTGACAGTTGACGGGTATACCAATTTGGGGTTTTACTATCCATTTGTCAAAGGTGTATCAGTTTGTGATTTTTCGTAGTATTAATACAACTTAACGAAAACTAATGAAGGGTAAACGCTTTACAAATGTATCAGTTTTTGGGTTTTTGGTGGTCAAAAACTTAGTTTGGGATAAATTTATCATTGGTATATTAGTTTGGGATTTTTTGTAGTTAAAAAATTAATTTATGGTAGATTTGCCATAAATATACCAATTTGGGGTTTTCATACCCTGGGAGCAAAAAGTACTATAATATTTAAATGTTGATGGCGTTGAAACCTTATCAACGTCCAATTAGCTCACCCCTGTGAATCAACTTAGTTCTTTTGTTATCTTGGTCAGATTAGTGAAGTTAATCTTGTTTCTCTATCTCTCCCAAAGTGAAATTTTCTTACTAGAATTTTTGTTCAATTTCAAATGTTTTATGAAAGCAGAAAAAGGGTTTGGACAGGTGGAATTTGGCACACCCACTGTTGAAATATTCGATTCAAGGCATCAAAGAAGCACTAATTGCCAACTAGGCGAGCCCGTCATCGCATTTTCACAAGATACAAGTGGGCAAGCGTAAGACCGGCGATACACTTCATCCCAAGTTCGTCTTTCACTGATTAACCAATTTTCCTGAGACTATGGATAGACTGCGAAACCGAACCTGATCCTCGCTTGCAAACCAAAGTTTGCACCACTCGACCAACTACCAGTCATGCAAACTATAGTTAAAGCAACATTTTCATCTCTTCTAGGATTTGATAGTTTTGCACGTGGATCATTGTTATCTCAAAATGAACTCTTTTAATCTACCAGAAAGTAAAAGAGACCAATAATCATACACATACCAAAATAGCTCATGCAGGATTCGACATGTCTCCAGCTTTGCCCCAAAAAATGAGGCAGCATGTAAATGATAATATACGTATAAGTGAACTACTTAGCTGGGAAAAAATTACATTTTCCGATATTTCACAAAAAGAAAAAAATATTTCGTATTATATCATCTGATAATCCGTCGGTGTTATATTCTATAGTAGAGACTTTTGCGCCATTATAGGCCAAGTTCTCTAAAAAAACATCAATATCAAATTGAGTCCCAATAAAAATACCGAGTACCCTTAGCTTTCCGCCCTATATAGCCGTGAAAGTCCAACGTGACAATTCCACGTGTGGATTACATCTACCTCTACATCATCTTTATTTTTTCTGAGTTTTTCTTTCCATTTTTTTCCTTTCATCTATCTTCTTTATTCCTGTGGTCTCTCCACCATTAAAATTTGCTCAAAACCTCCATTGAAGCTCTGAAACCAAGCTTTGTCTACCCTCCTTCATCTCAGAACTAAGAAAGCAGCAGAATCGGAATCTCAGCTCCAAAACTCACCCTTTCTTTATCACTTGGTGCTTTTACACCATTAGTTGGGACCCGATACTTTTGCACCATTATATGAATAGAAGAAATAAACAATAAAGAATAATGGTGACATATTTTGAAATGTATATATCGGTCATAGAGTTTTGCTTCCTAAAGTGTCACAGGTCGATCTAGCACACGTTAGGGCCTCCCTAGAAGCACATATACATACCCAATTGTATAATCCCATATATTTCACGATTCGTGCCTGAAAATCACAATTCCAAGATGGCAATATCATCCCATATCAACATTGTGGAATCTTTCAGCTCAAATGAACACCTGCTAATCTAAACAATCTACCAAATTTATGGTTCTCTGCGTAAGATATATCTTCATGGTGAAACTTTTCTTTTGTCTGAATCATTGTAAGCAATTAAAGCAGCAAACATAACATGCAATTTGCAAGTTTTGTTTCTTATCGGTCCTTGAGATCAGAAGCAAGAGAGACAATAACACAATCCCAGACAAGATAAAAATTCTGATGATGGTGTACAATATAGCACAGTAAATGGTACATTAGTCTATTGTTTCTTGCATCCAGGGGGCAATCGACCTTATATTATTCTCAACATGAATGCTCGAGAAACACAAGGCATGATTGTTATGTGAAATCTGAAGCTGCTATGACGATTGCCATTACAATATGTTCTATAATATCTAGTTACCTAACCAAACCAGCGGACTACCAGATGGGAGGAGAAGCTTTCCGCCCAGATAATCATTAGATCTCCTTAACAAGGATATTACTCCGGAAAAAGATGAGGGCACACCTGAAAAGGAAAAATAAGAGGTTTAGAAATTGTTTTGGGCTTCCCAATAAACCAAGAAAACCATTGAGTGTCATGCAAATGGCAACTTACTAGATGAAGTTTTATGTCTTCAGAATAATCCATGCACCGCATTGCCTTAATTACTCGTTATGAGAAAGATCACCTATGGCTATACTAACCTATCTAGAAAAAATATATTCACAACAAAGCCTGAAAAAGAGTGGTTTATCACAATGTTACTCAATCCTAGGAAATTCAGATGTTACTGGACTTCAATGGTAACAAAAACACAAACATACACCAATACTTGTTTTCTTCAAACTCCAGAAACAAGACATTCAAAGATAAACTGGTGCTTTCATGATCAAGATAGATTATCCACTCTTTTAGATCAATGTATGTTGTTCTGGAAACTGATGCTACTAGTTATTACACCCAGCCGTTAATGAGACCAACCAGAAAATCAGATATCCATAAATTTTTTTTCCTCATATTGCTATTTGAACCACCTTTTGCAATATGTTGTGGCCTCAATGGCATGCTGTTCTCTGTCATGTAAAAGGGGAATTTGATCAATCTGATCACACCGGCATGCTATAGAGAGGGAGTGAGTGAGGTAAGATATATAGCAAAGTGCAAAATTATCCCAAAGTTTTAAAGTTATATCCAGAGAGTTTTTGTGCTAGATAGACCTCGAAAATCACCTTTTCTCAAGGTCTCTGACCTTCGATTGCTCAGGGTATTGTAGGTACAGCTTTTCATTAAGTTCCAAAGAAGACCTAATGAGATTACACTTGATCATTCTTAAAACTTTCAGGGTTGCAGGAAAGGGAAAGTCTCGCAGAAAAAGTTAGCCTATGCATCGGTTTCTTTACTAGGTCAAGAATTTAGGTCCTTAGTGGGTCGTTTTATTAGCACCAATAAAAAAATAAAACCATGCTAATCAACCCAGTCGATGAATCTGCTTTTGTTTTAGAAAATTTACCTTTCCTTTTATTCCACTGAATATTGTTGGATTATGTTGAATAAGAACAAACAACAGTAGATGGCTTTAATTAGGGTTTCTAACTGTGCATGAACATTTCTAGGGTTTTCATCGCAGCTTACAACAAAGCAGCATCTCACAAATTGAACAAATGATCATCTTCGACTGAGTTTCACCTCTCACCAAATGCTCGATGATGCCTCGTTAATGGTGAATGTAACCAAACGCAAAGGAGTGGAGCTCGTCAGCGTCCCGGAAACTCCACTGCCTGTTGCTTGCTTGCATATTCAGTGAAGAGATCGATCCGCCGGAAGCCTCCTCGAAGCTCCCGAAGGAGATGTTATCCTCTAGGACGAGCGAATTGTCGTAATTGTTCCCTGCAGAGCTCGAATCCATTGACCCGTTTTCATAGTAAGGCATTGTGTTCACATTGCTCATGTTCTGTAAACTGAATTGATGAGGCAAATTATTTGGATTTGCCATGTGCAACCAACTTTGCACGTCGAGGGCTTGGTTCGAGATGACCTTGTTTCCAGAATATTTCTCATTAAGGTTCACTCTCGTGGAAGAGGGAGCAAGGCTTTCAGCAGCTTGCTCCTTGAGAGAAGCCAATTGTGCTTGCAAATTGAATACCTGCAAGGTTCGTCATCAAGAAATCATGAACTCCCTCAAAACTAGGGTTTTTGCTCACAAATCAGAGTGTGAGTCGCAATCATATGCATATCATCACATTATATAAGCAACCTGTTGTTGGAGCGCGAAGATGTGCGAGACGCATCCATAAATGGGGTCTTGGAGCCGCGCCTGAGCCTCGTACGAGATGGTCACAGCGGCCTCACACCGATCGCTCACGGGGAGATTCGCGAGGAGCTTCGACACGTTGCTTGCACCAAAGACCTTGTGAATGGCTGCGAAGTGCGTTGCGCCCTGCTCGTGGCAGAAATACGGGGCGAAGACGCAGCCTCTCACGCATTTCCTCCTCAAGAACTTGCAAGCTCCACAAGGAGAGCCAGAGCCAGTCATGGTCGATTCTTGATTAATTCTTGGAAGCGGGTTCTTTTCTGGGGATTCACTGTTTCTTTCTTCGCTAGCTACAAGCTCTTCAGCTTTTGGGAAGGAAGCATTAATCGCCATAGTTTATAAACACTGGAGGAAGAGGGAGGGGGAGTATATTTTAATGAATATTAAATTTCGTTCTGTCGTCTAAATGGGCTGCAAATTTCATTTATTTGGCACTTTATAGTTATTAAAAAATGGAAAATCCCTTTCATCCTCCTCCGTCCTAAGTTTATTATACCATAATCTGTTGCCAGATGATATTGCGTATAGGCGCCTTAAACGACAAAAGAGCTAAACATAAACCGAACCCAATTGCCCATTTCGCTTGATGATTGGGTACATCAACTATGTAGCTGATTTTTTTACTTTTCTTGGCCGTTTGCGTAGAGCTTCATTTTGCTGGTAATTACTATAACATATGTTTGAACTAGGTTCATTGAGGTGAAAAGAATTTCTCCATAAATGTTGCCCGATTGATATCCCATGTGAAAATTGCAGTCGTAGGACAGTTTTGGAACAATATTGTCCTTGGGACATTCATTCCTCTAAAATTCATTTAATGTACAGATTGATGTTTTTAGATTGTACTATACACGACAATCCAAGGACAAAATACAAGCGTTTTTTTACTTGTACATTTACTAATTAGAAGCGTGTTGGTTCCAAGGTAAGTTTTGGACCGCAGTGTGCACCATTCTTGGTTTGAAGGAACTTCCTTCGGTCAGTTTTCTTATCGGTAGGTTACAGACACGGACATCATCCGTGTTTATGTTTTACTTAAGTTTACACGTATGTGATATACACAACTTATAATCTACTAATAAGACACATGATCTGAGGAAATTTCCTCCGGAAAGAGATGAAGGAAGATATAAGGGTTAATACCACGAAAAACCCCAAATTGGTACATTTGTGACAAATATATCCCAAACTAATTTTTTGACCATAAAAAACCTCAAACCGGTACACTTTTGACAAATTACCCTCTATTAAATTGGATTAATACCATAAAAAATTATAAAATGGTACACCTGTGACAAACAAAGGGGTAAAACCCTAAACTAATGCACCCGTCAACTGCCACATATCATCCAACTGAGCAATTTGAAGGTAAAATTTAAAGGAAACTGACGAAGGTTAAATTTGTCACAAGTATACCAATTTTGGGTTTTTTGTGGTCAAAAAAATAATTTGGGATAAATTCGTTAGAGGTATACTAGTTTGGAAATTTTTTGTGGTATTAACCCAAGATATAATCATTCCCAAAAATGTAAGAGACTTATATATATTGTATTGTCGAATACCCCCTCTGCAACCTACTAAAGCATGCGTGCTTTACAGGGCCTGTAGGTTCTGCAATATCTAATTCGATGTCCCTAAAATAAATGGCGGACTAATGAAATGGAATCTTCATGAAAGCAAGATATCGGAGTTCACAAATCAATTTGTCCTTAATTGCATCCCTCGCGTTTCCCGGTCACAAAGTTTGAGGTCCCTCGCCATTTCCCATTATTCAAACTTAAAATTTCTTTTGATATTTTCCCAATGGCCGTCCTTGGGCTTGGCCTGTTTCGAACGGCTCCAGGAGTCGTTTGACGAAATGAACATTTGGTTTTCTCATCCTTATTTTTTATTTCCGAGTTCAGAAGTCACTGAGTGAGCTTAAAAAAGAACAAATGAAAGTCTTATGCTCGTCTAGATATCGAGTAAATTCATAGGATGAGCACATTAGAATTCCTCAAGCTTGTTACGAAGCGCAATAGAGTCTTAAAACTTTCAAAAAGTGTAATCGAGTCTTAAAATTTATAAAAGTGCAATCAATGGAATGACTTTTTTTTTGTCAGACAATGGAAAGGTTTTGATTAGATCAATTTGACAAGTTTTAGGATTTAATTGTATTTTTTAAAAGTTTTAGGACTCAATTGCACTTTGTGACAAGTTTTAGGACTTTATTGCACTTTTTGAAAGTTTTAAGACTCAATTGCACTTTAATGATAAATTTTAGAACTTCCAATACACTTATCTCTAAATTATTCATATAATCCATAGAGGAAATATCACCGCCGTCCGACATTTTAAGGTTTTAACAACAATAGATGTGTGCTCAACTTGAATCCAATATTAGAGTTATTTGGCGGTTCCGAGTTCGATTTCTCATGTACCTTTTACCCTATTATATAAGCTTTCTTAAGGTATACTTCAGGAAGCCGATCTCGTGTTCTAGTTCAGTGCGTCTTCTTGGCAGTTAACTTCTACTATATATCCATCAGTTCGAACTCCGGATGCGCACCCGACAATGGTCCCGCCAGAATAATGAACATCTCGAATGGACACGATCTGATGAAGAATAATTCTCGACATAAAGCTTGGCAGGGACATAAAAATTCATGGTTGGATGTATCTGGATGAGTGTTGCCTGGTTGATGGCATGTGATGGTGGGACTCGCTTGAGCAGCAGGTACACCTGTTCGTGCATTTTGATTGCGTGGGGCTGTTCCCATACGATGTGTATCGCTGATCTAACCCGAGAACCCACTCGTGTGCACAAGAGTTAAACAAAGAAAAGATCACATATTCAATTGAATCAGCGCCATTCAAATTTCATTCTATTATTATAGCAAACATCGATGAGAATCTGAGCAAATTTATAATGCAAATTGGTACTGATATGTGTCGATGGAAAATTATTTCAGGGGAAAGAGCCATATTTGTTTAATGGGTAAGTCGCACAATCGCCAAAATCTCAAGATGAGGGATAAATGTATTTATAATGGGAATTAGAACTTTCTGCTGGATTCCCATACAGCTTTCTAAGTGAGAGCCAATCAAAATATTGGGTTTTTTGTCATGCCACTCTGATGTTGGTACTATATGTTGGCTTTCCGTTCCACGCCCCTATTCAAATGAGAGTATTTCAAAGCGCAAATTAAAAAGATTATCAAGATAAGAAAATAGAAAAGAATGGAAATAAAAATAAGGGGAGCATCTGAAAAACGAATGGCACAAAAGATAGTGACAAGGTAGAGAGAGAAAGAGAGAGAGAGTGTGTGTGTTTGTTTTCTTGTGCACTTTGAAATGTTTTAGGGCTAGTAGGTCAAGGCTTGTCTAGCAATACGGTACTATTGGGATTAACAAATCACTAATATAATCCTTGATCACTCTCAATCACTTGGTTGTGTCACACATAGGCACCAACATTTAGACCTTGGCCCAATGTGCATTTGGCCCCACATTCAACCCCAATAATAATGACACCCCAACTTAAACACACATCTTATCAGTTCCTCCTTTTACCTCCTAAAATATAATTGATTGTTCAACCCCCAAAGAAGAACTAGTGAGGGCTAGCTAGCTCTTACAAGTAAGAGGGAACCAAAATGCTATGGCAGGGAAAAAAAAATTGCTATGGCAGCTTTTGGTTCATTTGTGAGACATTAATGAGGAGATTATGAGCTATGGCCTGTGAAAAGCAGCTTTCTTGGTACTAATTCGATAGTTTTATATGTATATAACGGTGCTTGGGAGTCATCTAATCATGGAGATTAGAATCACTTTTGGCTAACAATCTTATTAATCTAATTTTTAGTTCGTCATATAAGTACACCGGAATGACAGTTGCTTAGTTGGGTGATGTTGGAAGCCCATCTCAGTTGAAAGTAACAGATGTGTCAAAAATAGACACAATAGAATCAGCTTGGTTGATTGGTAAAACGACTAGGATCTTGCGCTTCAAGAAGCATGATATCTCGGGTTTGATTCCTTCTCAGTGCATCCACTTGGGGTCATGTTATAGGGAAGTAACTGTTGCACCCAAATCAGAAACCAAGAGGAGTGATTTGGATTTTCAAAAAATTACAAAACAATTTTGCAGTTTCAACACCAATAAAAATTTGTTTATGTGCGCAAAGCGAACTAACAATACAAACAGCAAAAATTAAAGAGTTTAGGGAAAGAAATTTTGCAAACGAGACTTATAGATGTTTGTTTGGGTGTGCCTACTCCTCTCTTCTAGCTTAAGCAGTCCAAATAATCGGAATTCGATTGGTTATGCCAAGGGTACCTAGCGCATCGTTGTAAGTGTAGAACCTATCTTTCTTCTACAACAATCCCACTAGAGGATGCTCCAATAATTGTTATCATGCTTTATACACACATCATGGTAAATCCAATTTCTAAATTATAACTCCATCTCTAAGTATTCATAATGGGGAAAATTGTCAAATCAGTCCTAAACCTATTGTACGGCGGCAAATTCAGTCCTAAACCTTTTAATTTTGTCAATTCAATCCTAAACCTTTTAAATTCTTGCCAATTAAGTCCTTCCGGCCAATTTTGGCCGGCCGGCGCAGCCATCCGGTCAATGCTGACGTGGCAATTTTTAATTATTTTTTTTCAATTTTTTAATCTTTTTTAATCTTTTTTTTTTCTGCTGTCTCCCCTCTAGCTGGTCCGGCGACCGGCGGCCGGCCAGAGGGGAGGGCCGGCAAGGCCTCTGGCGAAGCTCGCCCCGCCGGCCACCGGCGAGGGCGAGCCTCGCCGGCCCGGCCGGGCGAGGCGAGGTCGAGCCTCGCCGTCACGACCTAGGCGACGGCGAGGCTCGACCTCGCCTCGCCGTCGCGACCCGGCGTCGGCGAGGCGAGGTGAGGTCGAGCCTCACCGTCGCCTGGGTCGCGACAGCGAGGTCAAGGCCGACCTCGCCGGTGGCCGGCGGGGCGAGCTTTGCCAGAGGCCTCACCGGCCCTCCCCTCTGGCCGGCCGCCGGACCGGCCAGAGGGGAGAAAGCAGAAAAAAAACGAAGAAAAAGAAAAAAAAAGATTAAAAAATTGAAAATAAATAATTAAAAATTGACACGTCAGCGTTGAACGGACGGCCGGCGCCGGCCAGCAGCCACGTCAGCGCCGGCCGGCCAAAATTGACCGGAAGGACTCAATTGGCAAGAATTTAAAAGGTTTAGGACTGAATTG